AGTGCCAGAATTATATGCCAATGCTTTCCTTTTTTTAATGTGCCAAGATGGACAAGGATTAACTGTTCCCCCTGTGGGCTTTATTCTTGGCAGAGTGGAGAAGACTCTGAAATAGCATTTATTCAAAGCATCAAGGGACAGTAAAATGACGCTGAACCAATGCTAATGACTTTCTGTGGGGATGTTTGAAGCTGCAGTTCATTTATACAACAAATGAGTGTAAAATTTGAAAAGACAGGGGAAACATTCTATATTTTTACACACATTAAACTTAACCGCGGAAAGGCTTGCAGTTTTAATTTGACTGTGCCACATTGCCAGCCACTTCATTAGAATTGCTATTGTAAATATCATGTCAGCCAATTACATAGCCTCAAGAGAACATGCTAAAGTTCAAACCAAGCATCAGAATGTGGAAGAAGGATCTCTTAACTGGCTTTGAACCTGGCATGGTTGCTGAATCCAGATGGGCTGGTCTGAATATTTCAGGAACTGCTGATCTACTGGAATTTTTACACGCAATACTTTCTATGGTTTACAGGGAATGGTCATAAAAAGAGAAAACACTCACTGGGTGGTAAAAACACCTTGTTGATGCAGTAGATCAGGAGAGAGTGACTAGATAGCTCACAGCTGACAGTAAGGCAACAGTAACTGAAATAAACACTTGTTACAGCAAAGGTATGCAGAAGAGCATCTCTGAGTGCACAACATGTTGATCCTTGATGCAGAAGACCACACAGAGTGTCACTTCTGTCACCTAAGAACAGGAAACTGAGCCTACAATTTGCACCATCTTACTTGAATTAAATTGAATTAGCTGAATATTATTGCTGGCCACAGTGTACACATCTTCTGATCGCTGTGTCACAAAGTTTAAATCATCTCAGACTGGTTTCTTAAACATAAGAATGAGTTCACTCTATTCAGATGACCTCAACAGTCATCAGATAGCAATCCAACAGAGCACCTTTGGGATGTCTGGGAAAGGAAGATTTGAATCGTAGATGTGGAGTCGACAAATTAGCAGCGACTGTGTGATACTGATCACGTCAAAAGGGAACAAATGTCTGAGGAAGGTTTTTAACACCTCGTTGAGTCTGTGCCATTAAGAATTCAGGCAGCTCTGAAGGCAAAAGGACAACATCACTGCTGATCTGTCTGGCCTGGCCCTGCTGGATCCTCCTTGAAGTGTTTTTTTGTTTTTGTTTTTTTTAGTAGCTCCAGTGCTTCAAAAACCGTATTCTATCATTTTTAGTTGTGTTTAGTTTAGTATGTATTCTATTTATTTTGGCGGGGAAAAATCCCAGTTCCCAAACCGAATACAGCTGACTGCAGTCATACAACACTTCTTCATAAACACCACAGGTTAATAAATTACCTGGCAGTGCTGTTGTTTTATAGGTTATATAAAGAATCTTTATAAAAGCAAGCAGCTAGAAGCAGAAACACAATCTCAACATGGTCCACTGGATTTTCTTTCTAAACTCCTGCGATGCATTCATTTCTTCTTCTCTTTTCTATTTCCCTTCACTGTTAAAGAGGAGTTTCCATTATGCCAGTGGTTCACATTAAGGAGATGGGAACAGGCTGCTACCTGCAATTATCCTTGCTCACCCAGCCGTGGGTCACTAGGTGCTGAGCGACAGCTGGCTGTCTCGTTCCCTCCACCACTCACACACACTAACAGTCACACACCTGCACACCACACTCATGTGGTTCCAGACTCCTTCCCACCCATTCTTTACATTCACCTGCCAAGCAGCTTGATTTATAAGGCCAATGTTCAGAGCGATACAAACCGCAGACACATAGGTGACGCACAGAATCAGTGCAGTGTGTTCTGTAATATATTCATGCATAGAAAAGCGATCAGTCATCCTGTAAGTGTGGAAGAACAAACACACACACAATGTAAGCAGCGACAAAGTGATTGTTAAGGAACAATACTGACTCGGTTAGACTTTTCTGATTGAAAAACAGTGGGATCAAATTAGGAACACCAATGCAAGACTAAAGGTTCTAATAATGAATTACGACATTCCCTTAAATAACAAAAGAATAAATAAAAATAAAGGTTTTATTGATGTATGATGTTTGATACAAATTTGAATGGGGAATACAGTTAGGGCCTTTAAATTTGTGTGTTTTGCCCCTTTTTTATACACTCTCAAAGAAGGAGTGTAGGAAGTACAAGACAGAGTCATAAACATGACTGTGCTAAAAAATACAAACAATAGCAACTACAGTTAATGAATAATGAAAAGGCAATCAAACGAGCTGATAAACCTTAGATCTAGAAGACCTAATAGGTACTACACAGCCACCTGTGATATTAAAGTGTTAACCAGATTACCAGTTACTATTACAGAAAACACTTCTTCTCACTTCCTGCAAAGAGAGAAAGTGATCCAGATCAGAGGGCATGCTAGCAAAGTGCTTCGTCAAATCCGGCCTGACTTTCCATCTATTTTAACAACTGCAGCCATAAGCAATCTTGCAGATCTATGAAACGTATCTTCCCCCTTCCTCTTGCCACAGCTGCTGAGGCAGCACCTGGATTTAAATTACTAGACTCCTTTCTGAATGCCTGATGGTGACAGCTGAGGATGGAGAAATTACCCACAGACCTGTTTCTATTCCTTCTCATGTGAGAGGCATCTGGGAAGAATAACTGTAAATTGTTTAATTCCTACATAACCACCACCTTAACAAGTTCACGTGCTGCATTCTTATCATCGAAATCCACGACGATACCATACAGTACAAAAGTCTTTGACCACTTGTAGTTTGGTGATATTTTGTTAAGGAAATAGGAAACTTTAGTGGCCTTCATGAATAGTTCACAAGGACATTCGCAGCCCTTCTTTGGATGTTGGCTGCCTTTTGTTTCTGTTCTCAGTCAAGATGATTGGGCCCTGAGGACACCAGTTAATGATCGATGGCGCTCCATTGTTCTTTCTTCTGTCCAGGTATGTTTTTACTGCACTGGCAGTGTGTTTGGGACCATTGTCATGCTGATAAATTAAGCCGTTGATAATTAGACACTATTCAGATCCATGGTGGATCAAAATCTGAGAAAATCTAACAAATCAGTTTTGACAAGACCGCCACCTTTGACTAAAATGCTAACTCCAAACCATGACAGAGCCACCATCATGTTTTACAGATGCCTGTAGACATTCTGAAAAGGGTCATGTTCAAGGACTGGACTGAAACTGGGTGAAAAAGCAGTCAATTACCAAAGATCTTAGGCTACATTCACACTGCAGGCGAAAGCGCATCAAATCCGATTTTTTTGACCCTATGCGACCCATATCC